TTTAAACTTAAGTTAAAGTTTGTGTTTAGGTTAATTTAAAAGGAGCCACTTATGATAAGTCAATGGTATTTGGTATGCAGTTTTATAAGTATTAGGTTTTCTTATTTACATGGAGGTTATTTGACCCTGCACCTTCAGTCAGGATTCATTGACTTTGAATGTTTTCCATAGTTAATATGTTTGAGTATTGCCATATTAATTTCAACATTTTTTTTATTTTACTATCAAAATTACAAAAAGCGAGACATCTTTGTGTCAACAGTTTATTGCCATTTGCATTGTTGCTTAACGAAATTATTTGTAGAATAATAAGAACATTGCTAACGGTGAAAACTTCACAAAACTTTATGGTCCCCTGGTTTCTATAGACTTTCTTGTTGTTATCCTTATTCACACCAGGTGTCAAGCATTGTGCAGTCTAAATTATAATCAAAAACTATAGACGGATCGGTTTTATGGTACAAAAAACGAATGTCTCCCCCTCATCCTAAGATGTCATTCTGGTAAAGAAAATGCACGCCTAACGCATTCTTGAACCGGAAAGTTGTTGTCAAGGAAAATAAGAGTATACTGGTATAATTTTAGGATTTTACCTGTTTTCGAAATATTTCACAGTTTATGATACGAAGGGGACAGAACAGAACACACCAGAGAAAATTTATACGGTGCATTAAACAGGTCTTGTCGGGCAATTTAGAAAATATATGGTTTAGTGGTGGACATCTGAACAGGTGTAGAGATATTTAAACAATTTTTGATATAAGATGAGGCGGTGCATGAACCTTGGGAACTAAACCTATGGTTAACTGGAAATGTTTTATCATTGTAATTAAAATATGTATGGTTTAAGGGGTTAGGAGCTGAAAAGTTTTTGATATATTTATCATTTAACGATATAAGGTATATATAACTTATGGAGCACTATTCATATTTGTCAGGAACATTAAGAATACATATGGTTTTGGGGATGGGGATGTGAACATTTGTTTCTATTCTAGAATTTTAGCAAATAATTATATTAAAGGGCGCCGTAGCATGTTACCAAAACAGAAAATATGGTAGATGGTTTTAATGTGCACATGAAAATGGTACTAAATATCTACCATTTGATCTTGAGATGAAAGTTCAAATGTTAGGGGTCATCTTAAATGGTAAACGACACACCGTCTTTTTGTAATGTACCCACGTGCTTAGTATTGCTAGCCTATTTCAAAGGATAGAAAAGATATGTTGAGGACACAAAAAATGTCCCAACAAGTCAAATATTTTGACCTTGTGGTCAATGTTCAGGATGATTTAAAGATACGCGACACACCGTACAATGTACCTACATACCAAATATCATAAGTCAATGAATGAATGAATGAATATTTTATTGCAGAAGCAAACATAATGCTATAGCAAAATAAAATAATATATGATAATGACAATAATGACAGTAAACATGCAGAGAACAACACAATAAAGTCATAGCAGGCACAGAACTACAACTGTTATGCAATAATAATTTGTAATCTTAACTTCCATGCCGCATTAAGAAATTTACACAATTTTTTAGTTAAATTCTTTGAGCTAGCCTGTAAAAGAAATACAAGCTTTCTATGATTTGGCCATGAACAATAAAATGTTGGTAAAAACTGTAGCCTCAATGATCTAAAGGCAGGACATACTAAAACAAAATGGTACTCATTTTCAATACAATTCATATGACAGCATATACATATACGATTTTCTCTTACAATATTGTCAAAACGACCAACTTCTATATTCAGTTTTAATGTTCCACTACGTAGTTTAGTGAGTATAGTACTATTAAAATCATATTTTAAGTAATCTTCTAAACAAAACTTATTTTTTAATTTCCTATATAAACACAGTTTTTCACAATCGTTCAAAATAGCAAACCAGTTCTGGTAGTATTGATCATTTATACGACATTTTATATATTCAAATGTTACATTAATGTTCTCTTGATCAATCCATACATAATTCAGACCTAAACTAAATAATAAATCGCGAACATTTGAAACCCAGTTTCTCTTGCCATTTAAGGCATCAATGCGTAAGAGGTTATAAATATCATATACAATATTAGGTTTATCATATATTATATGCAACCAAAACTTTATAATTTTATCTTTCCTTAAAATAAACATAGGTAGATGACCAAGTTCACCACATAAAAAGGCGATTGGTACATTTTTACCAAGCTTTAATATAAAACGACAGAAACGATTATGAACGAGTTCAATGTCATTGGCTCGATGAAATCCCCAAATTTCAGACGCATAGTTAAGTATAGAGGCCACCATACTATTAAATAAAAAACATGCTTGACTATGTTCAATATAAACTCGCTTAAGAGTATCGAATAAGGAAGAAAGTGCCCTTGCTCCTTGCTGAGAAATCCTCTTCTGTGAGTGTAAGAACTTTCCATTGAAATGTAGCACCATGCCTAAGTATACATATGAATTTACAATTTCTAGCTCCTGGTTGTCAAAGAAAAAGCGGTTATGAAGAGGTTGCCAACCATTTCTGAAAACGACTACTTTTGTCTTGTCGGTATTAACAGTAATATTCCACTTTTTACAATAGAATGAAAGTTTTTCTAGTAAGACTTGTAATGTTTCGGCAGATTTTCCGAACAGGACGGTATCGTCTGCAAACAAAATTAAATATATCAGATATCCATTGATATTAAAAACTCCGTTATCATTGTCCATAGGAATATCTTGAATAATGTCATTCACGAAGAATAAAAACAACAGAGGTGATAATGGTTCACCTTGTTTCACTCCCAAGAAATTATCAAAAGCCTCTGAAAATTCACCCTCAGTGCGAATTCGTAGACGAACAGTTTCATAGACTGCCTTTATGATTGAAACAAATTTCGTGCTTATACCACTTTTTAATAGTTTGTACCATAGAATTCTCCTGATAACCTTGTCGAATGCCTTACGAAAATCGACGAATGCGCAATATAATTTTAATTTCTGTTGTAGAATATATGTTATAATACCATGTAGTACAAATATAGCGTCTACAGTAGATCGGCCAAGTCGAAATCCAAATTGGTTATCGATAAGTTTTTCCTCCTCCTCAGCCCAGCTGAGTAATCGTTCGGTTAATATCGATGTAAACAGTTTTGATAAAATACTAACTAAGATGATAGGTCGATAATTATTCGGGTCTGTTAAGTCACCACTTTTTGGAACCGCTATTACATTGCCTTCCGACCACATATCAGGAAAAAGCCATTTTCAAACATAAAGTTGAAGAGAGTTTTAAAAATAGGAGCGAAGAAAACTGGATTCGATGACAACATTTCGGTGATAATGGAATCATTCCCAGCAGACTTTCCAGATTTAAGTTTATTAATAGCACGTATAATTTCATCTTCCAAGATTTCATTATCTAAAGAGTCTATTGTAATAGTGTCTAAAAATGAGCTATTTTCAATCAGATCAATGACTTCTTCACATATATCTGAAGGGTCTCCCTCTAGCAATTGTTCAAAATGACGCAACAACAAATCACTATCAGCTAAACATTTTGATTTCTTTCGCGGCTTAACTGCAGACCAACATTTACGTGGGTTCGTTTTAGCTATTTTGCAAAGTTCAAGTCCTTTGGCACGTTTGAAACTGGCTCGGGCTACACGTTTAGCCTTATTGTAACTATTCCGGGCTAAGATATATAATTGTCGATTTGCGTCCGTAGAATGACGCTGGTACAAATTGCGAGATGAATTAAATTTTCGACGTTCAAGGGCACAAATGCATTAAACCATTCGTTGTTATGTCTTTTCACATTTGTAGAATTGTTCACCAATATGGTTTTCCCAAAAACTTTAAATGCATTGTCATATAGAACACAACTTATCTCCCTTACAGCATCGTTGACATCGCCTGCGCTGGATAAGTTATTTACAAGCGTCAAAAGTGATTCACTGTGTTGTAAAAGAAGTTGATTATACTCGTGACTCTTACTTGAGTCCCACTTTATAATGTTGTGTGTCTTAGGAAAATTGTTTGTTAGCAAACGGGGGGATAGACGAAGTGCATGATCGGAAAATGCATTAAATTGCAAAACGTTGAAGTCTGCGATTCTATTGTAATTTTCTGGAAAAACAAGAACATAGTCATTAACACTTTGACCTTTAGAAGAGCAAAACGTAAATTTTCCGTCGCCATAATGTCAGAAGATAAAACAGTATTGGTTCCGAACCAGGTTGTAAGAAGAAGTACAACTTATATACATAATGTCTACCTAAAGCTTCGTCGACGGGAGTGGACGTCGTAATTCAAAAGTTTGGCCCACAATAAAACCTAATAACCTCATTTTCATAGACCATAAATCAAGTTTCATATAACAAAGCTGATTAATTTTATTCGCAAGAGCATTGGATCTTTTATAAAGCTTATATGTACCAAATGTTAGCATTACATTGGAAGCCGACAACGAAAAACAAATTGTCAATTTCATAAATTTAAAGTACTAAATGCAAGTCAATACTTAACCGAAATTACCATTTCCAGTTTAGATTGTCTTTCAGTTCCGGCAATCGTAATCGACAAGACACATTGAGGGGAACAATATAACAAGTTTATTATCACATTTTTATCGTGGAATTGTCATAATGTTGAATATGAGATGTGCAATAAGGAAAAATGAAGATTTTTTTCTTTCAAGCAAAGACGGTTTGAAGTACATTGTAGTGTCAATATTCATATAAAAAATATATTAAGAAGATACAAAAGGGTGTCTGTTATTGGCAAATGGTCTGAAGTCTACTTAGGTCAATCGCAAATATGATAGCAGTGATTTTGTATTCGTTAAACTTCATTTGTTACAAGGGTTTAAATACTTGAATTATAAATAAATTTGGGATAGTAAGTGCAAATGTGATGTTTACACAATTGTACCTATCTCTTTCAAATAATAACAAATTAAGGACTTTACAAATATCTTAGAATTATCTGTTTTTACTTTCAGAAATTTCCTGATATTCTACACGAGAAAGCTTACCTTAAATTATGTATAAAAATGTAACAGAAATAACTATATCCGTAGACAACGAAGCTACCAATGAACACCTTGATGTGGAGCACAAGCAACTGCCCGGAAACGGTGATTTTAAAAGCAATTTTTCACTTGACAAAATTCAAGACGGAAATATTGATGGAGGCTGGGCATGGAAGGTTTTGGCGGGTATATTGCTTTATAGAAACATCTGTTAATTCATTTTAGGTTTGAATACGAAATGTTGTTCGAATAAATGATGCAAGTAGTCAAAAGATTAAGATAAATCGTACAGGAAGGAGAAAATTTCTAGATCCGATGTAATGCACAGTATTCCGCCCCATATACAAAGGTACTGAACACATATTTATTGAGATAACCTTGTTTTTGCATTGCTGAAATGGAATGCTGGCAGCTACGCTGTGTTCTAGCATACAAATAGACAATGATCATGGTTCATCTGAGGCTGTGAGTAGAGGTTTTGTACTTTACCGACCCGATTGTTGATTATACAGTTGTTCCCATGAAATTTTAACACAAATATAAGGGATGTCACGAGATAACCATAATAAATTATTAAATAACACACATTTAGATACATTTTACATTCATAACCATGTATATGTTTTCTGCCAAGTCACACAAGGGTCGAAACAAAAAAGTCCACTTTGTCTAAGGGAGTTCTAAGTTTTTATTTCAATATATTAACTGGAAAGTGTGACAAAATGTATATTTAATTAAAACCAATATCAAAACGCTAGCTAGGCGCAAATAGTACCCTCATTTAACATGTTTTCTCATTTCAGGAGCTACATTAACATTTTGTGTTTTTGGAGCTACCATGAAAGGGTTCGGTGTCTTCTTTAATGGATTTATTGAAAAATTTAATGCTAGTTCAGTAGTTACGTCAATGATAAGTGGTGTGTTACATACAACATATAGCATATGCAGTAAGTTAGCTTTATAGATGTATACACAGACACTCGTCTGAGACACAAACATCGTTGCAGGACATATTTTTGTTAAGCTAAAATGAGCAAACCATTAATTGTTATATCCGTGGTAAAACAAGTTTTATAACACAGGAGTAATGCCGTATATTGTATCAGAAACACGTTTCGAAAACCAAATAGTGCTTATCTTCAGACAAGATCCTTTTAAGATTTAACATGTCAAAACATATCTCCCCGAATTCGTAATGTCGACCCGTAAAAAAATGTGTATTGTCGATTTCAGTCGTTCTTCATTATAACCCTTTTAGGTGAGATTATATTTATAAGAACACCCCTGTGACTGAAATCAATATAATATAAACACAATCACCCGCGTGAGGTTATGTTACTTTTGAGATATGAAAAATTGATAAGGTGGTTTAGGGAGTGGGGATATGAACATTTGTTTTAATTTTAGATTTTGTGTTTTTAGAGCTACCATGAAAGGGTTTGGTTTCTTCTTTAAATGATTTATTGAAAAAATTAATGCTTGTTCAGTAATTACGTCAATGATAAGATATTTGTTTCTATTTTAGATATATAGATATTTGGTGGATAGTTGTCTCATTGGCAATCATACCACATCTTTTTATTTTTATAAGGGAACAACCGAAATTGTCACATTTGTCGTAGATCATTGATTGAAGTCGCCGATCTATGTTTATGCCATAACAAATCAAGATATAATAATAAGAGCCAGCAAGGAGTATGCATTGCTTTCTACATGTGTGAATAAATCAAGATTTTAAATTTACAGCCATAGTTAGAAAAAAAAGTTACTTATTATACATAGACATGTCAAACAACATAATTCTGGAACGTGGCGGTTTGAGTAAAAAAACTACAATTTTCAAAGACACAATAGATAATAAATAGTGACCCCCTATATGGTCGTTTACAATTTAAACTTATATTGGATTCTCACGTTTAATGTCCTGACTTGTTGACTAATACAACTGTATTTCTTCTGTAAGTTGGTTGTCTATTTTTTATGTCCATATATATGGAATGATATTTTTTTGTTATACAAAAGCATCGACTTAAACAAAGGAAACAATTGCTGACCCAATGAAACTTTTAGAGGAATCCTTGAAATGCATCTAATTATACTTTCAGCACTGCCTGTTCTTACAGTAGGTCTACGGTATCTGACAACAAGACAGTGTGTAATAATAGCAAGTATTTTGTGCAGTGGAGCTTTTATTGGTGGAAGTTTTGCTAGTAGCATAGAAATTCTTGTAATAACGAACGGAGTAATGGCTGGTGAGACGCTTCGTTTGAATATAATATATAGCATTGGTGGTTTATTGAGAAGGACTTTTTAAATAAATACTGATGTCTTTAAGTTTCGGACAATGAAAGCAAGTGACGTAGCCCATTTTGCATTTTTCATTTGCAAATGGGCTACGCAATTCACTTTTAAATCGTTTAAAACCTTCAAATGTCATTGATTTTTTTTAGCTCACTTAAAGGGCCAAATTTGCTTTTCTGATCACCGTCGTTTTCCGTTAAGTTCACAAATTGACAAAAATCTTCCCATCTAAAATAAAAGGGCCAAGGTCATTTGGGGTCTATGATTTAAAAATGTTTCAGATGATTTCGCTTGCAAACCAACATGGCCACTAAGGCTAAAAATAGAACGTATGGGGAAAATGTATGTATTGTCTATTAATTATGAAAACCGTTATAGATAAAGAAAATCGGACCGAATCAAAAACATTCAGAATGTCAAGATCTTACTAACGCTTATAATGGTCTTAATTGTCGGACAACTCTTTACAGGAGGTTTTACCCTTAATTGATGATTTTTAAAATTTTGTTTTGTTTTTGCCGATTATCTTGAAAAATATGATAAATAGAGATTTATCAGCCAGACAAGATCTACCAATAAATCATGGTCAAAATCGTTAGTCGATTCCTTGTAGGGGTTTATAGCCCACTAAATGGTGATTTTTTTACTATTATTTTTTAAACTATAAAAGACAGAGAAAAACACCAAAAATATCAGCAGGACAAGATCTATAAAAAAAATTATTAAGAAATTATCAGTCGACTAAGAATTAATCCCCTTTAACATATAACATAGGCAAAATCTCTTTGTTCATACTGTGCTATAATCTGAATAATGCAGCGTTAAGGTGTGCATTACCTTCCTCAGATATACTGCACCGTTCATACAGTTTACTGTATGTACTCTTATAATTAGGGGCGGATACGGGATTTTTCAAAGACATAGGGGCTTTATTCCATAGAATAAAAGAAATACCGCCGAGGGTAGCGAGGCTAAACAAAAATTATTGATGATTTAAGGCAAAAACATTATATATTTTCCAATCAAAGGGGGTTGTGGGGAGGGGGGGGGGGAGTTAGCCCTCATCGACCCCTAGTTCGACATTGACCTTGCAATATTACGACAAAACTAATCAATTAACAAATTTGTACAAACTTCGTCGATCCAAAATATGAAATAGAATGTGTTCCTCATACCTTGGAACACTTTATGATATTTTATAATATTTTAGAATATCCTAATATTGAAATCTGATTTGGATTATTTTCATGCTCAATGGAATTTATTACGACTTAAAAAAAAAGGATTAATTCCATTTCAGGAACTATTTTTGGGTCGAATTTAATGAGGTTTATATTCAAGTTTCTGCCAAATAGGAAAAACATGTACTATGATATATATACAGTATAGATTTTTCTCATTGTTGAAGGCCGTAAGGTTGCATGTTATTGCTAACATCCACTTTGAACTTGGATAGTTGTCTCATTGGCAAACATATCTCATCTATTTATCATTATATAGTAAGTTGGAGATCAAGCAGATTTCGTTTACATGCGACATGTCCTCCAAATTAATTCAGTTGACAATTCTTTTTTTTGGGGGGGGGGGGGGGGGGGGGGAGGAAGGTGGTTAATTTAAAGATAATAAAGGAAATCTTTTTGTTGTTGTTTACTTTGCACTATAAATCTATCTCTCTTCGATTAATCTTCCGTTGGCATAATATTCTTTATCACCGGATGTGTACTTACACAAGCAACACGACGGGTGCCATATGTGGAGCAGGATCTGCTTACCCTTTCGGAGCACCTGAAATCACCCCGGTTTTTCGGTGGGGTTCGTGTTGCTCAGTTTTGAGTACTCCTTGTTGTTTTTTGTGTACTGTTTGACTTTTTATCGTTTTTTGTTTGTTTGTTTATGTCATGCCATGGCATTGTCAGTTGTGTTTTCCACTTATGAGTTTGAATAATTTCCTTTGTCATCTTTCGCCTCACTTTTAGGGAAAGCAATTTATCTCTACTCAGTAGCCCTTTCAGTTATAATTTGTCATAAACTGATTTAAAAGTACATCACACGGAACTAAAACTGTAGGAGATTTGGGTTATATGTCAATTAGACAGCAATCACACGACAAAACACCTAAGGACATCTAGAGGGCAACATATAGTGTTCGATAGACAGGTGTCTACATGACATGTCAAGTTCTAAATCATAAAACTTAATAATATATGAACAAATTGAACAGAAGCAATCAAAGATCTTCCATTAAAATGCAATTCTCCAAACAATGTATCAATTTAGGAAAAAGCCTGAATATAAAAAAAATAATAATTTAAAAGTTACCAACCTTTTACTATTTATAAAGCCGTATTTTCCCCTTTTTCACCATACAAGAACACTTTCACAGGAGCCGAGGATTGAACATCGTTCGAATATTTCCAAAACATTCATGGAAATTAATGGCGTCATGAGCTAAAACAATTATTGGCCAATCAAATCGGTATATATCAATAATAATCATTTAATCTGCACGGTCGGGATGCCCCTTTAACCCGAACTCCTACGTCGTTCGGGTCAAGTAGGGTCACCCGAGACGTGCATATCAAATGACATATACCGATTTGCTTGTTCAATAACTACAACTAAATGTTGATTTTTTCAAGTTTTGCATTTTTGGCAAATCCTATAGTAGAGACATACCAGCTAAGAACTTCAAATATGTCATGTAGCTGAAATTGTAAGTCTACTTCTTACTGCCCCTGATTTAAAAAAAAAACGTTTGCGTTTTGGGCAAAAACTATTAAATAAAGAGGGAAACTGTAAAAAGCAAAAACGACAAAAAAGACGAAGATCTAGTCTAAGAGATAGGTCAACATTTCCGAAATGGTCAGTCCATTTCGCATAGGAGTTATCACCCTTTAATTATTTCCCATGTTTTACGTTTGGAAAAAACTTAAAGTAGATAGAGAGAAACCGTAAACATAGAAAAAATCAACAAAAAGTGAAACTAGTCGTGAATGATATTCGTCTGTAATATTGGAGAGAGGCTATTGTAGAAGATGCACATCTATATCTGTGTGAGCGATACAGGCTCTAAAGGGCATCTAGTTATACTTACATTTAACATGGATTAATTCAGCACTTAGTTGATGTGATAATTATAAAATAAAAGAATTAATAATCAATCGTACCAACTTAATTCGATATATGTACCTTTTGTATACAAAACACCGCTAATGGCATGTGTTTCCAAATGGTAACCTTTTTTCATACTACATGAAAGCATGTAATCGTACGCGTAGAAAGATTGCTGACATTTTAGTCAGTAATATATTATATGAAAGTCTGTATAAAATTAAAACATTTTTAGATATAATATAATATTGTGAAAGAATTTTTTAATGCATATATGCTATATCATATCGGCAAACTCAGAACATACGAAAGTAAAGATTGAGTGACAGTACACCTCTTAGCCAATTCGAAAATCTTGGATATTTGAAAATTATCCTTAATTTGTGTTGACAATGTCTGCATTCTACATAACGGATAAAAGTTGCAATAATTTGCAGAAAATGTAGATGAGTATGCCAGAAAATGAAAAAAAAATTCTCTCAGTTATGTAGAGCATGCGATGTTCAATTTTTCATGGATCCATTATGTAACTGTAAGACATGAATTATGGATAGTTCTTGTATTATTTGTAAAACATATTCACTTGATGTATATTGCAGTTAGAAAACGTGCACGTTATCGATTTTTCAAAAGACAATTAAACTTCAACCAATGCCGTCACTATATCAGTCAGTATTATTCTTCGTCAGAATTTATTTATCTCCCCATTATGCCACCAAATGATGATGGAAGTTTTTAACGACCATGACTGGCTATACAGCCCTCGCACGGTCGACTACGCCACCAAATATTTTCAATCGTAATTTAAAAGCCATTGTAGGGATGACACGCTGTCAATTTAGTTCTTGAAAACCGATAAATTTATCAACATAGCATCATTACGATCCTTATATGCCAGTTGTATATTAAAAAAACAAATGTATCTACTAGCTATTAAGAATCGTTTAATATACCTTTAAGCCAGGGGGAATTTTTCAAAGTTCAATAACACCAAAAAAAAAAAATCAAATTGAATTGATTTGAATATTCGTGGAACGGCAGATTAAAAATTTTTAGAGGTTGAAGACGAATTACCCGAGATAATACACACAACAAATGGAACTTTTTTTGAAGTTATGCATTTTTAAGATCCACTTGTAAAGTCTGTCGTCAAGGGTTTCCAGTAAAAATTTGTTATTTAAGCACACCAACTCTGTTGTTTTTAATCATTAGAATGGTTTTTTACTTGACCCATATATTTCATTTTTTTAGTACTGTGAGTTTTTAATGTGATAATATCAACCTGTAGCCCAAATATATAAAAGTAGTGGTATAATAGAGATAAGCCGCCAGTTGCGCAGTAGACCAGTTTCACATAAGCGACTTATCAACGCTGATCTCGAAATCATATGCGCGTTTGAGTTTAAATCCCGCGATAATTAACGATATCATACGTGACAGGGGGCTAAATCAAATTGACTCTGATATTTAGCAACACAATAATGAATCAACTAATAATACACATCTCTCTCATGGTGTATGCTTGAGTTTATTTAAGTTTAAGATATTAATAATCGTTTATTTGATTAACAAATTTAAAATGAAAAGATGTGGTATGATTGCAAACGAGACAACTATCCACCAGACCCAAATGACAGATGAAAGCAACTATATATCACCATACAGCCCTCGACAATGAAAAAATCCATACCAAATATTATGCTCTATAAAGGTCTCGACTAAAAACAATTCAAACCTGAAAATAAGTCATCTTGTTGCTAACAGTTGTGTTTTAATATTAGTAAATGGTTTTTAAAAAAGTATTTATCTTGTAATTGCTTTCTTTTGCCTAGTGCGCTAT